CACCAAAGTTTGTCCTTTCTATCTATTCCTGAGTTAAGTTCTTAGAGTGACTCACTTCCTTTATCTACTGGCAAGATTTGGAATCTCATGAGATCAGAGCTGAATTGTTGGTGGGACGAGATTCTAGCATGACCCATTTTCTACTCTTTATTTTTATTACAATCGAAATGACTTCATTGAGTGATGATATTTCCTCTTTTTCCAAAATTTAGACTCATACCTGATCATATTCAGATTTAGTCTTGCCAAAAATTGATAAGTACATTTTTTTCTTTAAGTTTGTTAAGTCGAGTTGCATTTTACTGCAATCCATGGTCTAGTTATTATACTGATCCAGTTTTTGCCATAAGTCTTTTAACAAGTTAGAATATTCGTTTATTGATCTGTCTTTGTTTAGTAGACCATGTCTTGATCGTTAACTCATAAAATTTTGCAGTGTTCTTGACTTGTTTTGCCAGTTGCATCCCATACTATTTTTGTGGTGGCAAGGACATCATTGTCTTGTTTATTTTTGGAGCTATGAAGTCTTATAGTCATGCCATGATCATAAATTCCTCTTTGTCCCAAACATCAAATATGCGATTGCAGGGTTTTGGTCCAGTATCCAAAAGATGGATGAACTAGCCTTTACCTTCAATGATGGTCCAAATTAATTGAGATCGGTTTAAATAATCCTTACCTGTAAGAGATAGTGACGCGGGAGAGACTTGTAAGGATCGTAATACTCTCGGAACCTCACACCACGTCTGATCTGAACATCTTAATCACCTAATTCACCGTCTTCTACTTGATAATATCACCCACCAATTTGGAAAACAATAGTTAAGATAATTGGAAAAATAAAAAGAAAAAGAAGGACTTCACGGCTTATCTGATAAATCAATTTTGATTTTTTGCCTCAACAAAACTTATAAAAGTTCACTAACTTGAAGAACTTGAAGGACATTTACAAAATTACCAAAGCTAATTTTAAAGAAAGCAAAAAGTTTTAATTTTATTGATCTCTTGAATCGTTGAATTGTGTTTACAACCTAAGGACTAAGGTTCTTATATAAACCTTTATTTTCTTATCCGAATAAGAGTAGGATTACATAATTCTACTTAAAATCTTAAACATAAATAATTAAAATAGTCGAGTCCTAATTTAAATAGGAATATAAAAACAATAAAATAAACTAAAAACATAAGTCTTCCTCTCATGGTCGAAGTCATGTTCCTTATTGGGTTTGGTTTCCTATGTGCATTCGGCTTGTTATTCTTATTTCTTTAATGATTCTTGAGCGGTCTTTTTGCTATAAAATAGAGGACTTTATGTGAAGAGTGAATGGAAGAATCAGCTTTGAAGTCTTCTTCTTGGTCGATTGCATGATAGCTTTGGACTCCCCTTTTGGTTGGAATTCTTACTCCCTTCCTTTGAATATTCATCTCCTTTTTGAAGTCTTCACTCTTCAACAAAGAATCTTCTACATAGAAGGTGTTTTCAACTTGTTTTTGGACTTGTGAAGGAAGAAGGAAAACTTCTTCCTCTTTGGTATCGGATTCCCATGAATACTCTCCTCTCTCTCAGCTTGTTGGTCCTTTAAGGCCAGGAATCTTCTTGATCTTCTTGGTTCAGTTTTTGGTTGGCTTTAGAAGGTGTCATCTCCTCCTCTGAGTCAGATTCCTCAAGGATAAGTTTTCTTGAGTGGCTGGACTTTCTTATGTCTACCTCCTCTTTGCCATGGTGGCCACGGCTTGAGCTCGGGTTTGGCCGAGCCTTGATCCTTTTCTTGGGTTGCGGTCGGGCTTCTTCTTGGCCTTTCAAAGCAGATTTTGGGCTTGCACTCCTTGATTCTTCTCAATTTGGACTCGACAAGCTCTCTTTGGGCTGTATCTTGGACTCAAGGCCTATGGGCCTTCAGGTTTTGGGCTTTGATTCATTGGGCCTGCAGTATATGGAGGGATGTTGGGCCTGGAATAGCCGTTAAACTTCGGTGAGGCCCATATCAGTTGCAATTCGGCCCACAAATGCACAGGAATTCTTTCGCGGGTAGGACACCTTTTTCCGTGGGGGAGAAGGGTTCCGCATGGGCGCAAGCGTGCGCAGTGTGTGCACGCTCTCTTGTCGTGCACGTGCCTCCATTGTGCGCGCGTGCACATGCATGCGGGCTGCTGGGTGTGCGGGGCACGCAGGCCTCCTTGTCGGTGTTCCCGCAAGTTCGCAGGCAACATTCCTGTGGGCACTTTGAATCCCGCAGGTATCCTGCTCATTTCGGGACTCTTCTTCAAACGCTGTTTTAGTGTTGCTGGATATCATGTTAGATAGGCCGCCTGGATTGGCTGAAATTCGGTGATGGAATTTCTTATATGGGAATATACTTTATTATTTTGGGATGTTACCTCCGACATCCTTTAAGAATTCTATAGTAATTAAGGTTGAAAGGAAAAAATTACGAAGAAGAATTTACCAGGAATTCAAGTGGCTATGTGAGGAGGGAATCGATAGCTTGCAGCTGATCTAGTTCTGTGCGGTTGATCTGACAGCTTGGATATGGACAAAGGGACATAATATTAGTTTGGGACGACACTGTGAACAGGTTGCATTCACAAGGGTGTGGCTAGGGCAAAGGTGCAGCAAGAACTAAGGGCGAACATCGTACATCTCGCAAGCGCTGTACGTCTAGACAGAGGCTGGAGTAGAGGGTGGCATAGAGGGTGGGCACTGTACATCTAGTGTCTCATGATAGAGGAGCATCTTGACAGATGGTGTCATGTTTGCCTTTAGCGGTGCGGTTGTGTTCACAGTGCGGCTGCATTTGGATGTGTGGCTGAAGGTTCTGACTTCGGTGATGAGGGCCAATTTGGTTGCTACTAGTTGCTAGTGGCAGTGGCTGTGACTGAATGGTCTGTGAAGGCTAACCTAACCCTTTTAGGGTTTTTTCTTTTCTATTTCTGGAATAAAAGCTTATTAGGGTTTATAACTAAAGTTAGACTTTCTTTGGCATAGGTCTTTGACACCATGATAATAATGGTTTGATATGTATTTTATTGAATATTACAATTCTCTATATATAAATTTTTTAAGTAAAACAAAATAAACAATTAATTATAATTAATTACATAGAGTGTCATTTATTTTAATATTCTTTAACTTAATTCACCATTTCTCTAACACTCATTTGTAATTTGTGGATGATGTGATTCTTTTTCTATCTGAAGACAGTGATACTCTTATCAAAGTCATCTCTCTCTTGTAGTTTTATGAGGTCATCTCGGATTTAAGGACCAATTTATTCAGGAGTGGTTTTCTTGGTAACAATCTGGATGAGGATGTTATGTGGAGCTTGTCCAGACTTGCAGAGTGTAATTTCTGCACTATAATCTAGATCTTTTGGTTCCTTTTGTGGGGAACATGAGGATTTCTTCTATTTTGGATTCAGTGCTGTGAAGAATTCTAAGTGATTAGAGAATTGGAAGGAAGCCCTTTCTCTCACGTGGGTCGAGTTCTGTTGTCACAATTTTGTTTGAATAGCATTCTATTGTATTATTTCGCTTTTTCTAGAATAATGGTAGTGGTTGCTAAGAGTATCTCTTGTGGTCCAGCATTGATGAAAATGCTGGGGATTATTGTGTGAAATGGGAGGTTCATTGTTTTCCTAAGAAGGAAGGTGGTTTAGATCTTGACGAATTTAGTATCCAAAAACATTATTCTCTTAGCCAGACGGTTATAATATTTTCCAGACAAAATTGGTTCTTTGTTGCATAGAGTTGTGAGAAGCTGTTAAAAACTAAACCAGAACAATTGGACACGAAAGTGATTCAAGAATAATGATTTTTTGTCTTGCTTGTTCCGGTTAGATTTGGGGGATCGGTCTTGTTTTATATTTTGGGAAAATAAATGGGTGAGTTATGCACCTTTTGCATTTCCCTCGGCTTTACAGATTATCCGACATAATTTCCCGTTCGATCCTTTGTCCCTTCATAATAACAATGTTTCTAGAACTTCGTCCCTCTTTTAGGGGCTTATACCTGTAAATCTTTCTTTGATTACCTCACTCATAGTTGTCTTAACCATAATGTTATTCTTCGTTCCTCATTCTACATAGTGAAAGCTTCCTGTGAGAATTTTGATTTGTCCAAACAATCCTTTATGGAATTGATATTATTAATTGCTTCAGGTTATTAAAGTCCAAATTGCTCTTTTCCTGATGTCTGATTTATGTGCTTTGAGTTCATCACTTGTAGTCCTGTTCTGTTATCTGCATTTCTGCTCTGTTCCATACAGTGAAAGTTTCCTGTAAGATGAGAGTTTCCATTTGGACTTGGGTTAGCATTAGTGATATCTTTCAAATTCTAGGACCTCATAAAGCTCTCTCTGATGACATTGGCTTGAAATGTTTCCACCATTCTAAGAGAAATAGCCATTTCTTTCTTCATTGTCCTCAGGCATGGAAGTCATGATCTAAGCTGTTTCATTCTTTGAGGAAGCTTGCACACCTTTCTGATTGATATTTTTGTTTCTTATATGCATAGCAGGGTGGAGTAAGGAACCTAAGATTTTGTAGACTTGGATATTTGTTTCTTATGTGCATGGTGGGGAATGATTAAGGAGCATAAGATTTTCTGGAAGGGGCCTAGCTTTGCTGATTTATGGGCCATTTGGTTGAAACAAAATAATAGACTTTTTAAGCATCATTTTCAGCCAGCTTAAATGAGTTGGGATAAAATGATTTCTTTTTTGGACTAAATAAAATAGTAGTTATGTTAATTAGTATTTTGTTTTTTAATAGTTTACTAGTTAATAATTTCAAACTATTTTGCACAAATAAATTATTTGCAAAAAAGTAACAATAAGTTTAATTATTATGTAATTTAAGTCTTGGAGTAGAGGAGATGAGGATAAAAATAAAGTGACTGAAGAGGCTTTTTCATATAATAGTAGGAATATTTTAGGAAGAAACTAAAGGAAATATTTGAGGGTAAGTCTGGATGTTAAAATAGTTCATTTCACAACAACTTGGGAACAGTTTTCTCTCACCAAGTCGTAGGAACTTCTTTATCACTTGATTCATGAATTTTCTTTTTATTTGCTGTTCTAACTTTCTGCCATCAGATATAGGACTGGGATCTCTTTTGATGCCCAGTCCTATGATTTTAGTTATACAAAGACTATCTATGTTGTGAATGTTGAAGCTTATTTGCACTTGGATGCCAACTCTTTGGTGCCTTATTAGTGAAATTTGCTTTTGCTCTTAATGGAATCTCTTGTTCTTATGCCTTGTATGTAGATTCAAATTTAGAGCTCTTTTTCTGTTAAAAATGCTTTTTCGATTGGAAAAAAAATACATGTTGTAGATTAAATAACTGAGAGCATATTATTCAAAACCACCTGTTTCAGGTATATATAAGGGATCAGTTGTTTGATCCCTGTCAATTTTTTGCTTTGGGTTATCCTTGTCCAAATATTTGTAACAAAGAAATAGAAATGGCTATTCATTCTCAATATAGAAGTGATACAGCTTCCCAGCCAAATGCTAGTGAAGTCAGGTGCAGTAAGGGGCACCACTGGTTACATAAGAAAACAATTGCTGATGTTGTCGAGGCTCTTGTTGGGGCATTCTTAGTTGACTGTGGCTTCAAAGGTGCAACTGCATTTCTTAGATGGATTGGCATAGAAGTTGATTTTGACATCTCACAAGTTTCAAATGCTTGTTTTGCAAGCAAGATCTACAAGCCACTTGCTGGTTACATTGATGTTGCTGCTCTTGAGAAGTTATTAGAGTATCACTTCCACCATAAAGGTCTGCTTATACAGGCATTCATCCATCCTTCTTACAATAAGCATGGTGGAGGCTGCTATCAGGTACGGTATTTTCTTGTCTTTCCTGTTTCTTGAATCGGAATGGAACTAGTCTTCTGTTTTCTCGTTTAATGGATTGTTTCTTGGAAGTATTTATGGTCTGATATTGCTACAAGTAATATTTTGATGACTTCTGGCAGAGATTGGAGTTTCTTGGAGATGCACTCTTGGATTACTTAATCACATCATATCTCTTTTCTGTCTATCCAAACTTGAAGCCTGGTCATTTAACAGATCTCAGATCATTGTCAGTGAGCAATAAGGCCTTTGCAAATATTGCAGTAAATCAATCCTTCAACAAATTTCTTTTGTGTGATTCTCGTAGCCTCTCTGATGCCATAAACAAGTATGTGGATTTTGTTAATAGACCTTCATCAGAAACACAACTTTTTGGAGCGCCTAAATGCCCTAAGGTATTTTTTAGTTCTCTCTATCATCTATGTTTACATCCTTCTTTTTGTCAATCAATGTTTTAAAATGATGAAGATATCTGCAATTTTTAATTTCGCTCCAGGAGTTAATTTGGAAACTTCTGCTGCACCTTACTTGTTTTGATAGAGAATAGCATATCATCCATCCTTTCTAGAATTAGTCGTAATGTCTCGTTTGACTAAATGCTTCTCCCTACTATGTCTCTAGAGAAACTATCTATTAAGCTCATCAATATTCTTACAAATAGCATGAGGCAGTTTAGTAGACTTCATAGCATACAAGAGAAGAGAAGAGGTTATGAATTTATCAAGCCGACTGAACCTGCAAGGGAAAGATTCTTACATTTCCCACCACTTTGAGCTTTATCTGGAACTTCAAAATAGGTCTGTTTAGTGACCCTACCTTGGATGAAAGAATAACCCAGTGAGAATTATGAGAATTGTGATTGAATATACAATCTATTGTTCCCAAGTACTTCAGGATATTTGAGCTTGGTTTTATATAGGATTTGAAAACTTCTGTTAAGAATGGTTTTGATATGTATTCTATTGGATATTACAACCCTATATATATTTATATTTTCCAAGATGGAAAAAGAAATAGGTAAGTGTTGATCACCATATTTTATTATTTAATTATTTTATTTTATTATTTGATATTATGTAATTAGAACTCTATGAGAATAAAAATATCATATAATCAGAATTCTATTATAATAAGAATTTCACTATCTGTAGATTAAGAATTGTATAAATACCCTAAGTGTAACAATATAAAGGGTGAAAAATAAAATTATTATTTTTTCTTCCAAAAATCAATATGGTATCAGAGTCAAATAAAGTTCTTTTAGGTTTCTAATTTTAGGTTTTTTTTCAAATTCTAAAATAGTACAATAGGTTGGTTTGGTACCCACTTATCCAGATTTGCCCTCTTCACCCCTATTTTTGGATTCTAATGTCAAGATTTTTTTCAAAATCCTAAAATAGTAAAAATATGTTGAGTAGGAAGAGAGTTAGATCAGAGGAAGAGAGCCAAATCAGAGGAAGAGTAGCTAGATCAGAGGAAGAGAGGCCATATCAAAGGAAGAGAGAAAGCAGCCGACCTCCTTCTTCTGCCACACAGGAAGCTTTCCAGCCATGCCGCGTTGTGTCGCATCGCACACTGATCCGGCCTTCAATCTTCTTCTTTTGCCACGCACAGAGCCATGTGCAGGAAGCTTTCTAACCACGCCTTGTCGCGCACAAATTTGGACCTTTTGAAATTAAGATTTTTAGGCAACTAATCAGGAGCAACCTGTCATTGACTACTACTGAGTAAAACTGTTGAAGTATTTTAAGAGAACTTTTGAAATTAAGAACATTTATAGGTAGATGATTAATAATAGGCGGCAGTAAGGACGACCTCGCCAGAATATTATTTCAGAACGTTCCTTTGGAAAAGAAAAGCTCTAGTAGTGGTTAAAAGATGACTATTCTCGCGTTTCGTTACTCCATTTCGCTGTGGAGTGTGGATGCAGGACAAATCATGAAGAATTCCTTCCTGATGGAAGAATGATAAAAGTGTGTGATTAAAAATTTTTTTGCATTCTCAAGATAACTTCTTTCGATTGAAACCTCGTGAGATTAGAGCTGATGCTGATGATACCCTTATTTTTTGTCAACCGGATAAGGAGATGATCATGAATTTGAGATGTATTCTATTATGTTTTCAAGCTGTTTCTGAATTGAAGATCAATTTGGTGATGTTGGGGAGTAAGGGTAATGATGACAGGTTGGCTAGGGGCTTGGGTGTAAGCTTGTCAATTTGCCTATTAAGTACGTGAGTCTACTATTGGGAGCTAAGTATGAGGATGTGAAATCATGAGATCCGGTGATTAATTTATTTGAGAGAAGACTTGCGAGATAGAAAAGAAATTACCTTTCAAAAGGGGGAATATTAACTCTGATTAAGAGTACTCTCACTAATCTCCCCATTTATTATTTATCAGCTTTGATTATCTCTGTGAAAATTGCAAAAAAGTTAGAAAATATTCAATATCACTTTTTATGAGGGGGATGATGATCAAAACTTTAAATATAATTTGATGAAGTGTGACAAGGTGAAACTTCCAAAATGGAAGGGAGGACTGGGTATTTGGTCTTTGGTGGATTTGAATAAGACATTATTAGGGAGGTGATCGTGAAGATGTCATTCGGGGGACGAGGGGTTGTGGTGTAGGGTTATTGGGGCAGGTGGGGGGATATTGTTGGGAGAGGGAATAACAGGTTGTGTGTTAGGCCTCATGGGGTGGGTCTTTGGAAGAGTATTTGTATGGGTAGGGGACAATTTATGGAGGGTATATAGTGGAAGCTTGGGAGGGGTAATATTATTAATTTTTGGGAGGATGAGTGGATTGGTATCTATTCCTAAGAGTGTATAATTTATCGAGGGAAAGAATGTGGTGAATTAGGAGGTATTTAAGGGGGTGGATGGGAGGAGCGGTTGAGACATTGATCTGGTTAGGAATTTGAATGATTGGGAGATTGATGAATTCACAAAACTCCTACAAATTCTTGTGGATGTGTATTTAGATAACAACAGTGACAAGACTACTTGGAAGTTCAAGAAAGATGGTATTTTTATGGTGAAATCCTTTTATGAGCATTTTGACTAATAGGGGAGGATGTTGGCTCGAATTTTCCGATTTGTCAAATTTGGAAAATGAATGTGCCACTGAGAATTGCTTTTTTGCCTGAGAAGTAGGTTAGGAATGCATTCTTACTATTGATAAGTTGATGAGAAGGGGTCATAGTTTGGCCAATGGATGCTATCTTTACATAAAAGCTGCTGAATCTTGCAATCATCTACTTCTTTAGTGCCTGATGACCTACAATCTTTGGCATATGGTGTATAACTTATTGGGTATTAATTGGACGATGGGGGGCTCAGTCAAAAATGAACTCTGAGCTTGGGGAGGGGCTGGGATTAGAACAAAGTTTGCCAATTTGATTCCTTTGACTATTTTTTAGGTTGTACGGAAAGAGGGGAAAAAAAGAACGTTTAATGGGTGTGTGAGGGATATTGGCAAAATTAGAGAGAGGTGGTTACATACTTTTGGGTTTCTAATTTTGGGTCATGATATACACGGGTGTGATATTTTGGGAGAGTGTTGGATGTACTAACAGACTTTTAAATATTTTTGTATAGCGGCATCACCCCTTTGGTGTCATATACGTAATATACATGTTTTATTTCAAATAAAAAAAAAATTAGGACCGATGTTATGTTGGAAATTACCTTATTGAGTAATAAGCATTTCCTTCTTTTTCCCTAGATCTAGATTCGTAGTTGATCATATTCCGAATTTAGTCCTGCCAAAAATTGATATATACGGTCTTTTTTCTCAAACTTTTAAAGACAGATTGCATCTCTTCTACAATCCCTGGTCAAGCTATGATATTGATCTGGTTCCTGCCACTAGTTTTTTAACATGTTAAAATATTTATTTATTGATCTGTGCCCTTGTTTCATAAACCATATTTTGACCGTCATATCATAAATTTGGTGGAGTCCTTGAACTTTGGAGTGGGTTTTGCCGATTGCATCAAACACCATCTTTGTGGGGGAAGGAACATTATAGTTTTATTTATTTTTGTTAGTTATGGAGTTCCAAAGTCATGTCATGATCATAGAATCCTCTTCATCCTAGGTAGCGAACGTAAAGTCTTCAGGTTTTGGTCCGGTACCTAAAAGATGGGTGAGCTCCCATTTTCCTTTGATATAAAGATCATATAGTCTTTTGCTCTGAACTGGTAGGCAACTTAAATTGGTTGAAATTCATTGGTGGAATTTTCCACGTGGGGATATGCTCTAATATTTTGCAAAATTACCTCTGACATCCTTTAAGAATTGAATGGTAATTAAAAAATTATTTGAAATATTTTACTTAAAATATTAATTGTGTGAGGAGTGCATTGAGTTAACTCACTAGCAATCATAGATCAGCAGTCGACGCGTACACGTCTATGCACAAATAGTTGTGTCATAAACGAGTTTAGGTTCTAGACAGAAGGAACTAGTGTTGGGGTTGCGGTAAATAGATCCAAGTCACAACACAAATCGGTTAGGTTTATGTCTGCATCTGTATCCATAGGTCGTATTTGGTCGGGACCTGGTGCTGCTAATTTGGTTCACTCGCGTTTGATGAAGGTGACAAAGACGAGTTAGGGTTTCATTTGTATCTTCATTAGTGGGTTGTGTCCGGTCACAACTCGCTGTGGCTCGTCTGGTTGCTCACGTCTAATGAAGGTGATCGAAAGAACTATGCACAACTTTGTTGGGGCAAACTAGGAAGTCACTCATGTATGGTTAGGATGAAGGCGACCAAGAGAAGTGTGCATGGAGGCTATGGCAAACTGGATCTAGTGATTGTTAGGACCCGGCTTTGACATGTAATTCACCAGTACCTTAATTTAGGAAAAGTATTAGAGTTGTAGATAATTTTAAAAGATTGTGACAAAAAAGAATTTAGAAGAAAAGAGAGGGGTTCTGGAAAGAGAGTAGAAGAGAGTTTGAGAGAGAGAGAGAGAGTGAAGATTTTAGAGGAAAAAAGATAGAAAGTTTTAGAAAGAGAGAGACTGTTAGAGAGAGAAAAAGAG